GTAGCAGCATGCGGAGCAGAACCACACACTGCTACAGGAGGTGACACCGGACGCATTCTCTCCATCCGCACGCTGCCAGGGATTTACAACAAACCATCTACCTTCATGTACGTAACTAGCAGTGTTTCGAAAGCATGAAAGCCACTAAGTTCCTCACTACTGCCGCGTTCTGGTTTTTCCCGCACGCTGCTCGCTGTTAGGCTAGTTAGCAGGAGCGTCCATATAGTTGTGGACGCTCCTAATAGTAAAATCCTATAAGAGGTTTCCCTACTAGCGTGAGGAAGATAATAATGTTCTCTGTACCTGGGCAACAGAAAAATAAGTTAAAATCAAGGGTGTTTTTCCCCGCAAATGATATATGTACATAAAAAGAATGGAGACACGGGAATTGTGTTAGCCCCATGCATCCTAGGCCATGCCCGGGACCCAAGGCAGGTGGCCAAGCAGGTGGGCCATATAGGCCACCCCTAGGGCTAGTTTTTTGTAGTTGGGGCTATTTTGCTCTAAAAACCTTTGATATATGTTTGCTTTATTTTTTTCCTCGCTCTATAAAAGTGTTGCTCTCTTGTGAAACCTTCATTTTCCGGCTCCGGTTGCTTTCCGGTGCTCACTCCGGTGCAACCTTGCAAAATGGAAAGAAAATATGGATAAAATTGTGCAATGGTGGTTGAAATAGCATAATAAGTGAGCAATTTATGTTATGAAATTGTGATGCAAGATGAACATATAAGATTTGAACATCCAAAAATGCCATGAATGGAATAATGAAAAGCATATGCAAAGAACAAATTTGTTTGCCTTTTGTTCCCATGTTTAGTCTATTATTAGTTGGGGTCACTCATATGATGGTGCATGACACTTTATTTTTCATCATTGCTCGGTCGGTCCATCGACTAAATGACAATGATCCATCTATCCATTATTATAGCCATTGTCTTTTACTGGCCATCGCCAAAAATGATGCTGCCAACTGGTGTAGTGATCATGGAGCAATAAGGTGTGACATGCACATTACACATCGTTGGCAGGGTTTGTAACACCAGCGACATAATCGGTTGGAGCTAAGCTAGTTGTTGAGGTTGGATGAAGCCCTGGCCAAGTTGTTGCTGAGGCTGGACAACCGTACCCTGGCCCGGTTGTTGTTGTTGTTGGGGCTGGGGAAAATCTTGACCCACCTGTTGTTGTTGTTGTTGTTGTTGTTGTTGTTGTACTTTTCTAAAAGAAATAAGTTGTTAAGCACATCCAGATTGACATAGCTTAGGTAGAATTAAGCTTGTAATCTTGTGTGTGATGTTAAGATAGATCACACTAGTAAGGTGAAGATTGTTCTGGACTCTCTCTTTTTACGAACTAACTCCGTAATTTCGTATAATATGATGGTAAGATTAACATGTAGACATGATTCATCAGTTCCCTTTTTATTTCAAGGATTCTAATGTCATATATATGAGTTATTGATACATATTGGATTACTGAGGATCTAGGCAACTTAATCGATTCACTATGAGTACATGTGAGCTTTTGTTATGGATTGCATTCGCTTGCTGATTTAAGTTCGTATTCCCTCTGTAAACTAATATAAGATCTTTTGAACCACTATTTTAGTGATTTCAAAGATCTTATACTATTAGTTTACAGAGGGAGTACTTATTGCTTGCAAGTCAAACGATGTCCATGTTTCTTTTGCTGAATTTGTTCAGACTTGTTCATGAAAACTATCGGGACCTAGATTGACGAGGATTGTACAGAGCATTTACACGATATTGTTATATATGCTTTTCTGAGCAGAAAAATCATATATTCAACACACCATCAACTGACATAACATTTATATGCACATATTTGTCAAGAAGTATTTGTCGTTGGCCTATGTTGTTTCCTTTATTGTCTGTTTAATTCATGCTCTGGACCTTTTTGCGCGAGTCATAAAACTAGTATTTGTACACAAAAATTTGCAGCTCCACTTATTATTTCAATATATTTTCATTTGGAGTACTGCCCTAAACTAAAGCACCAGGCTTGGGAATTCAGTGCTTGCTTCCTCGTGACGGCTTCTTTCAGCAAGATTAGCAGAAAATTTAGCAGCAAACGTAACACTCTGAATAATCTTTCACATAGCTTTGTTACAGTACAAGTTTGGTGACAGTTCTGCTGGAAATTTGTGGTCTCCTCTAACACAATGTTCCATATATGTATATACTGGCGAGAATGGCATGGAACAAACATACATACTTGTTTTTTCTTCATGTGTAATGCAAACTTAACATAATGATGAGATGCCATAATGCAATGTCCCATAATAGAAAAAAGAAAAATAGATACCAGTTCAACTAAAAAATATCATCAAAACTCAACTCAGCTAGTTCCACCATAGCAATCAACACGTACACGGGCTCGTAGACGTACAGAAAGCGCTAGTAAACCACTTGAGCTTGGATTTTGCCTCAGGTTGTGTGGTGAAGATGCCGCGGCTTGTTTGTACAGTGGCTTTAAATACCACAAGCTGCAGCCACTTCCTCGTATTCTCTCGGATACGTACAGTACTTCCAACAAGACATGGGGTACAAGACTACATAGGGACTGAAATGAATGAACAAACACACATTAAAAAAGGTAACATCTTCTATTTGTGAAAGGAGAGAGTACATGCTAAGAACAGGGTGTAGAACCGTATAGTGAAAAACTCCCCGCAAAACAAAAACAAGAAGTGCGTATAGAAAGAGATCCCTTCATCACTCACTGTCAGTGTCATTCTAAAACAAGCAATGGGAATACACTCTGGAGCGAAACGACGGCTGAGCTGAGCAGCAGGTGGAAAGACAGGAAGCAAGAAGTTAATGTCTTGGCATCTTTGCTTTTTTGTAGCAAAGCACTAAGCGCTGCCACGATGATTTCTCCGACAGTGGCAGACACGCGGCAGCCGCTTCATGGCTTACCTGATGCATGATGAGGCGGTCACGGTCGGGCTTGGCTCAACGCCCAGGATTTGCAGACGTCATTGACCTCCTCAACGAGGTGCGTTCGTCACTGCTCCATGCGAAGCGTCAAGAGTTCTAACGGTCAAGTAACCATAGAAATTGGATGCGTGCATTAGTAAGAAAAGCTTCTTACTAATATCTGTCACATTGAGCTTCGGTTCCCACAGTGACTATCTTAATTTTTTTTCTACTGATAACAAACAAAGTTTTATCTTGAATTATTCTAATGACGTTGCATTAGACTACAAGGGCAATTTATTCTGACCCTGCAATTCCTGGTTAACAAACAATTGCTTGGCGGTGTGTGAACTTTGAAAAGAAAAGAAATATGGCTTTTGCCTGACAAGCATCTCTGTTACCGATAAGTGACAAGTTAGGGCGAGACGACTTTATAAACACTTGCTTCTCCTTTGAGACCAACAAACGGCTCCAAAAAATCCCAACCACTATAAAACTTGTAATAAACACTTGCTTCTCCTTTGACTCTGAGGCTGTATATTTTTTAGATAAAAGGCCGAGGCCTGAATTTTATTAATAAAACCACCAAGCATACCGCAAGTTACCAGAGTCAACAAACGAGGGAAGACACAGGCCAAACAGAAAGTACAGATGAAAACCAACAATAAAAACATATCCCTTTTCTATGTCCTTCAGAAAAAAGGATTGTAGCCCCATGTTGTATTTTTGTTCATACAAGAGGATGCATCTGTATGCACTATGCACTGCTATGAGCTACAAAATGTATGGAAGCAGTAATAATTCGCACACTTTCAATTACTTGTAAATTACAATGGGGCATACCTGGGAATATTGGCGTGTCGGTAAATGCGCAGACATACAGAAAGCGATAGTAGCAGAATTTTTCTTCACTTTGTGTGGCCAGGATGCTGCTTGCTTGTACTGTGGCTTTGAATTCCACAAGTTGCAGCGACTGCCATTTTGGCTCGGACACGTACAGGAGTTCCAACAAGACTTGTTTCAGCTGACACGTACTTACAGTGCCTACCTACTTACTTCTCTGTGCAGAAAATTTAGCAGCTATTCTATGCAGGATTTGGCACCCTTTTGATTATTACTACAGAAAACATCAGTAACCCACTGTGCAGCAAATTTAGCAGCTATTCTATGCAATTAATGTTTGGATGTTTGTTTGAATTGATGTATGCAATATGCTTTCAAGAGAAATTTCTAGGGTATCTATTTGAGTTGGAGGTTTTGGGTGTTGTAAAAAACCAGTTTTGGGTGTTGCAAAGTTTGCTCCAACCACCCTTTTGGGTATCTTGTTCAATTGAATTCCCCTCTTACTGCCGAGACACAGCTTGGTCAGTTATTAACTTGTGAAGGTGCATGTGGGGCGAAACTTCATGGGGCAGTATCTGGTGCTTGATCGTGTGAAAAAGGGCTCGATGCTCTGGTCTTGCATTGCGGCGCCTAACGCGGCATGCATGTCTCCCCATACCTACTCCCTCCATCCCGAATTTCTTGTCTTAGATTTGTCCAAATGCGGCTGTATCTAATCATGTTTTAGTGTTAGATACATTAAGAAACATCGGATGGTGTAGGGCACGCTTGTCCATGGACAATGTTGTTGTTTTGTGAAGAGGGCCAAGGATTGGCATGTGTACATGTACAGCTAGCTAGATGCCAAGGAACAGCTTGGTCAGTTATTAACTTGTTGATGAAGGTTTATGGTCTGGTCTTGTGTACGTGGGCCAAGGCTTGGGCGTACGTGGTTCACCACATGCATGACGATGGACAATCTTGTTGTTTGTGAAGAGAGCCAAGGCTTGGGCGTACATGCATGACCAAGACGAAGACTTAGACTTGATGAAGGTTTATGCATGGCATGGTCTTTTCTTGTGCAGATTGGCATGTCTGTGTGTACATGTACAGCTAGCTGACGGCCTGACGCGCCGATACGTGTTGACTGACTGACACGAGCTACGCGGCGTGCACTGACTATAAATAGGGGTTGCATCTGTGCACTGCATAACTCAAATCACATCCCCCGACCAAACACAGATGCAAACACTACGCCGCAAGATGCCACCTTTCTTCTACCTTTGGTGCCTACTGCTTGCGCCGTGCCTTCTTCTCTTGGAAGAAGCACATGCGGCACGCTATGGAGGGGCCTCACTGAGGTCTCAGCACATGGCCCTCCTCCGCTGGAAGGCTACTCTTGCAAGCCCACCGCCCCAGATGAGCTCTTGGCTGGAGAACACCAGCCCGTGCAACTGGACGGGAGTCATGTGCTCGGCCATTCGCCGTGGCCGCCGCATGCCCCGAGTGGTGACCAACCTCTCCTTGCCCAATGCTAGCATCACTGGCAATCTTGGTGAGCTCAACTTCTCGGCTCTTCCATTCCTCACGTACATCGACCTTAGTAACAACAGTCTCCATGGTGCAATACCCGCTAGCATCGGCTCCCTGTCATCACTATCCCATCTTGACCTCGGCTTCAACAATCTCAAAGGCCAAATTCCGTCTGAGGTTGGTTGCCTCCACCAAGACATGAGATCAGGTCCCATTCCTGGGGAGATTGGAAAGCTTGTAAACCTACAATTTCTACAGCTAACAAACAACGCATTAAGCGGTTTGATACCCAAAAGCCTTGGAAATCTGACCCAACTTAATACTTTGCGCCTGTATGGTAATCTACTTTCAGGGCCTATGCCCCTGGAGCTAGGCCAGCTAATCCATTTGCAAGATCTTGAACTTGGTTCAAATCATATTTCAGGTCCAATCCCAATATCCATAACCAATCTCACTGAGATGAGAAGACTTTCTCTCACTAGAAATCAAATCACAGGTCCAATACCCCCTGAAGTTGGCAACCTTGCTAAGCTAAACCATCTTGATCTGTCCAAAAATCAAATCACAGGTCCAATACCCCCTGAAGTTGGCAACCTTGCTAAGCTAAACCATCTTGATCTGTCCAAAAATCAAATCACAGGTCCAATACCCCCTGAAGTTGGCAACCTTGCTAGGCTAAACCATCTTGATCTCTCCAAAAATCAAATCACAGGTCCAATACCCCCTGAAGTTGGCAACCTTGCTAGGCTAAACCATCTTGATCTCTCCAAAAATCATATCACAGGTCCAATACTCCCTGAACTTGGCAACCTTGCTAGGCTAAACCATCTTGATCTCTCCAAAAATCAAATCACAGGTTCAATACCCCTAGAATTAGGGAACCTCACTATGCTCAATGCACTTTATCTCCATGAAAACCAAATATCTGGCCCTATTCCTGGCAGCTTGGGAAATGTAACCAAGCTAGTAGAACTATACCTCCATCAAAATCAAATAACCGGCTCCATTCCCCAAGAAATTGGCAATCTGGTGAACCTCAAACATTTAATGTTGGATCAGAACATAATTTCGGGGTCAATAACAGAATTTCAGCCAGCGTTGTTCCTTGCGTAGGGACGGCAGATTCGGCCGGCGGGCTGTGCATAAGCCAGCGCGGCTCCTTGTCGGGCGCGTCCCCGTCTGCGGCCAGCGCAGCTCTCGGCCAGGGCTCGCCCAAAGTAGCCAAATGATTGAGAAAGAGTATTTATTGTCAATCTAACCCTGTCATCCAAACACCACTTTGGTTAGAGTTAGTTCACGGTTAGTTCAAGTTAGAATCTAACTCTAACCTCTAACCGAGTTAGAGTATTCAAACAGGGCCATATCGTGTCAACATAGGCAACCAAGCACGACTATCGTGAGTAGGCTAGATCGGGCGGGGCGACCGTGACATCTGCCGCATAGCCAGCGCCTCATCCTGCCTCCCCCGGAATCTGAAGCAGCGCTCGCCGGCTCCAGATCCATGTGGAGGGGGGGGCATGGTGGCGGTGTCAGCTCCCTTCCCTTTCCTCCGAGGGCAGCGATATGTTGCCTCTACCCAACCATGAACCGTTGCCACCCCTACACAATTGGTGCTGTTACTAGGTCGCATGTGCAAGACCGACTGCAACTCCCGACGATGGCAAAGGGCACTAGTAGAAAAGGGGGCAAAGGTCCAGGCCGGGTCAGCCCATTAGACCCGGTTCAGTCCAGAACCGGGACCCATGGGGGCATTTGACCCGGTTCGTGAGCCCCGCCCCGTCCCACCCCGCGCCGCACCTCGCCGTTGCCGTCGCCGTCGCCGTCCCGAAACCGTCGCCATGAGCAACTACTTTAATTTGATGTTAGTAGTAGTTAATTGAGTTAGATTTTGTTAGATTTTTTTGTAGATTTTTTTGTAGTTCATAGATTTTATTGTTAGATGTGTAGTAATTTAGATGTCTAGTTCATAGATTTTTCTGTTAGATTTTTTTCATATTGTGTAATTAATTTGTTCATATTGTGTTAGATTTTTTTATGATTTTTTTTGTTGTAATTTAGATGTCAAATTTTTATGATTTTTTTTCTGTTGTAATTTAGATGTCAATTTTTTTCATATTGTGTAAGTAATTTAGATGTCAAATTTTTATGATTTTTTTCTGTTGTAATTTTGTTCATAGAATTTTAATGATTTTTTTGTTCATAGTATTTTCTTTGTCAATTTATTGTGTATGTATAGGAAAATTGTGAATGATATAAGTCATTTATGAATATGTTCATATTTAGAATAGAGGAAAAAGGAAAAAATTAGAAGAGAAAGTGTTACTACTTTAGTTAAACTAGAACTATAGTTAAACTAGAACTATAGTTAAACTAGAACTATAGTTAAACTAGTTAATTAGAAGAGAAAGTGTTACTACTTTATGTTATTTATGAATATGTTCATATTTAGAATAGAGGAAAAAGGAAAAAATTATGAATATGTTCATAAAAATAATAGAACTATAGTTAAACTAGTTTATTTTTAGTAAGTACTACTTTATTTTATTTATAGTAAGTGCTTCATATATTGTTGAACTAGCTAGTTGATTTAATAAACTACTTTATTTAACTATATATAGAAGTAGTTCCCGCATCGACGTCGGCAATGCGTATCCCGCATCCTCGTCATCGTCGACTCGGCGGTGGAGGCCTGTTTGATCAGGGCCATGTTCGGGACTGGGCTCCGTCGGGCTGGCATTGGGAGGTGCTACCTTCCGGGGGACGTAGGTTGGTGAGGAGGCAGTCCGTTGTTGAACCGATTCTTGTTTGGTGGCGGTCGCGTGGGCCAGTGACGGTGCTGAGGCTTCCGGACACCGCGGAGGTGGTACGTCACCGTGTCAGCGAGGAGGACGAGCACGTCCGTCGCTACATGGTTGCATTGGAGGGCAAGTTCGACAATACCTGGCAGGTTCTTCAGGGATCTCACTGGAGCTATGATCCTGTGATGGTTCCTTATCTTTGGGTGTCCACCGCCCGCGACGATACCCGTCGGGCGCTACGGTTCTAGCTGTATTAGTGATGCTATATGTATGATAGTATTCGAGGAGTATTAGTGATAATATTTGACGATGTACGGACACAAGAGATGATGTACTTTTGCTTATAATTGAATGCATGCTAATTTGAATACTTTATTTTATGATTTGGTTTTGCTTATTGAATGCTCATATTGGAAAATTACTCCTACTTTGAATGCTAAAATCGTGGGGGTAGCTAGACAATTTGGTGTAATAATGCACTCGAGAACGAAAGAAGGAGCTACGTACCATCACCGATAGTCAACCCGTGATTAATAATAATGATCTAATTTAGGTTTTTTAGTACATATATTTAATTGTACAAGTTTAATGTTTGAATTATGAACATAGGCCGGAAATATCGTACTCGGACGACGAAAACCGCCCGGGGGAGTGCGACTGGTGCCACGACGACCGAGGTATGTGCGACAGGTTCATTGAGTTGGACGAAAATTGGCGCTTCAGCATTAAGCTCGACTGGACCTTCGATGTTCATACGGTACGCAACGACGACAATAGTTTTTTTTTTGTAATTAAGCACGACTTCAACTATTTTAACGTGTATTTTTCATCTTTTTCAATTCGACTAACTTATCCCATGCTATGCAAGACGCTATGTCTTTGAGGGGATGGGTTTTGAAGACCATGAAAGTATGGAAACCAAAAAAATTCTCCTAAGGACCCATCATGATGTGGATTTTCAAGTAAAGTTGTACAATGCTGAGAGTGTAACCCATTTTGGTTGCAAAAATTGGGAAGCACTTTACAAGATGTATGGTTTTGATGAGGGTATGCTTGTCACCATGAATCTTGGTGATCCTACAATCGAGCAAGACAATATGAAGATTTGGGTCCTTGTGGATACACCTCCAATTCTTCCCCATGTGAGTTTAACATAGTTATTAAGTAATTTATATTGTTTATTTCAAAATAGTTGACAGCTTATTTCCATTGACAGCTTATTTCCATTCTTCAAAGAATGTGCGAAAGATGGTAGACAAAACCCACTACACCGATGGCTCCAAATTAACTTATAAGGAGAAAAATCATCTGATCGCATTTTGTACTGATCTTGAGAATTACAATGTCTATAATCGAACTCCTCAACATTATGGTCAATACGTGCCACTAGTGCATGTGTTGAACTATGGTAACTACCATGGAGATACCCTGATAAGACTTTTTACTATTACGACATCCGTGCATCTTTTTGCGTACTTCTAAAACTAGTACATCATTGCTAACTACGAAGTTATTACTATGTTTTTCAACAGATAATCCCGAATGATTGTGTGCCTCATTTGATGTATACGCACGGTAGCCTTCATGTTTTGAACATACAACCAGGTCATCCTACGAATCTCAACTGTCCATACCGGATTTCTAAAAGAAGTGGAGACATGACAATCAAAGAATGAAAAAAATGTATGGACAGTCGTAAGGAGCTTCTTGTAAGCAAAAGGAAGCGAAGCGCAAGAATTGGAGACAGGATGATCTCCAATCTTCATAATGGAGAGTCAGGGTCTATATTGTTTTATGTTATTTTACCTTAAGGGTGTTTAGGTCCTACCTGATACTGATGATCATGTGCTAAGAACAATTATGTAGGGTTGGGTTCGATGACTATGAGGATGATGATCATATGACTTATTATTAATAACGAGTAGAAGTTGTATGATGATGCATGATTAGTAGAACTTGTTATTATATATGATGATGTATGATGCGAGCATGCATGAGTTATTATATATCTGTGGGTGAAATGAACATAGCAGTAGCGTTGGTAAACCAAGGACGAAGATATAAAAGAGGACACTTCTCTCTATTAGCTAGCTAATAACAACCTAAAAATAGACCCCCAAAACCCCTAAACCAGCCACTTTTTTATTTTAAAAAAGCCCTCAGCTCCAGCCAGCTGCTGACGCGTGGAAGCCTTTTGGTCCCGGTTTATGTCACCAACCGGGACCAAAGGCCCCCCTGCCTGGGCTGCCCGCAGCGGCCACGTGGATGCCCATATGTTCCCGGTTCGTGAAAGAACTGGGACTAAAGAGGGGAGGCATTAGTAACGACCTATTAGTCTCGGTTCAAGAACCGGGACTAAATACCCTTACGAATCGGGACAAATGCGCTGTTTTCTACTAGTAGGAGAGGACAGTCGGGAAGAGGGCCGCCTAAGAAGGTGGATCGGCTAGTCGCCTATGGGCATTTTCTTTCTTTATTGTGACTGCTATACATGGGGAATCCAACGTCAGACTTACAATTTTTTTAACACAGTACATACGCGCGCTCATATATACGCGCATACACTCGTCCCTACGAACACATATGCACACTCTATCCCTGTTAGCACCTCTGAGAGTCCGGGCCGGCATATCATCTTGAGATTGAGTAAGTCACCAAAGACGCCCTGTAGTTGACGAGAACATCATCACCCACCGAACATGCATAGCTGGAAATCCTGAAATAAATTCAGGAACAAATGCAAGCGTGAGGACTTAACCATTGTGGGCCAGGGATACGACTATCCTTGATGGCTAGCCCGGTCGCACACAAGCTCATTTTGCGCAGCGTGTGCGACCGGAAGGCCTATCCCCGATGTTTTCACAGGAAGAACCCCCTATTGCCCACACACACTAGACGACGGTTTAAAATACCGTTGTAGAAAAAGGTTAAAAACCATTTGTATAATAAGTTGTTGTACCAGTGCATTGAACAGCTGCCGTCCCTAGACCATTGCCGTGGTTACTGGGTCGCATGTGCAAGCCCAGCTGCGACTCCCGACAAGGGCAAGGGGAGGACAGTCTGGAAGAGGGCCGCCTAAAAAGGTGGATCGGCTAGCTGTCTGTGGGCATTTTTTTTTCTTTCATGCGAGTGCTATACATTGGGAATCCACCCCGTCAAGAAAATACACATACACGGGAATCCAACCATCAGATTTACATATATTTTTTTAACACAGTATATAGTATAGATGCAGGTGCTCATATATACATGTGTACATTCATCTCTATAAACAAACATACACACCTATCCTTGTAAGTACCTTTAAAAAACTAA